GTGAACTAAATCAATGCCATTTCTAACATCCAGATAGTTTCGTTTAATTCTGTAACAATTCAAAAGCTAGCATTACAGATATAAAACAATAATAACATTTAAAAAAAAGTAAATTATCAACTTCAAAACATTACTAGAGTGTTTTCGTAATTTTGGTTATTGAACTAAATCAATGTCATTTCTAACATCCAAATAGTTTCTTTTTCTTTACACAAATTTGTTACAACTTAAAAACATAATCTAATGACACAATAACCCGTATGCTGATTAAATATTCTTAAATTGATTCAATGTTTTTTCTAACATCCATTTAGTTTACATACATGTAAACCATGTCTATCAGGCAATCAAGCAAACGTACGATAGTAATAGTTTAAAATATATGTTAATTGTCAATTTCAAACATCAATCGATTGGTTTATATACCTTGATTTCAAAACTACATGAATGTCATTTCTAACATCCAATTAGTTTTATACAAACCAAATATTTACAATTTTAGATAAAACCTTATACATTTTTATCATAAAGCATAGAACAGTTTAAAATATTACTAAATTGTTTCAATGTCCATGGTATTTAAACAAACGTAATCAATGTCATTTCTAACATCCACTTAGTTTCTTATAACAATGTCCATCACAACTTGAAAATGGAAACTACTGATTTAAATAATAACATGCAAAAGTGTATTCACTGTAAAGTTCAAAGTATAGCTGAATGGTATATAAATGACTTTAGTTGTTTTAAAAAAACTAAATCAAGGTCATTTCTAATATCCATTCAGTTTATATAAACCAAATCTACCAAAGCATTCCAACAAACATTACAGATTTGATTTATTAAAGTATAGAACTGTGTGTTAATTAAAACATTCAACACATCAATCGATTGTTATAATAACTATGGCTCTCAAATTTGATCAGTCATTTCTAACATCCATATAGTTTTGATGAACCATCTATCAAGACATTCAAACAAACGTTTCATATAATAGTAATTAGTATAATGTATGTTAATTATGAAATTCAAAACATCCATCGATATCATTTTAATGACTTTAACTTCAAAACGAAATCAATGTCCTTTTAACACCAAAATAGTTTTATACACCAAACTTGTACAATGTACACACATATATATAATAACAGATATAAGGTTGTATTAGATATAAACTTCAGATTTCTCGATAACTGCCCTGACCAACGATTTTAAACAAGCTTAGTCAATATCCTGTATTACATAAACATATTTTTTATAAATCAAATTTCATACAAATATACAAGAATAAAATATGGAAACGCGTGTTTTGCTTAAATTTCTACTCTGTTTATAGACATTTCATCGAAATGATTTCAAATAAATATAAATAGCATTTATATCATCTATATTTTAGACCGACCTAGTGCATCTAAGTTCTAAATTATAGTTTTGGTAACACGTTACTTATGTTTTCTGATAACGATGATATTTTATTATACTAAAGCAATGTCATTCTCATCATTCAAGTAGTAAATATACAAACCAAGTCTATCAAAAACTCAAACAAAAATTATATATTGAAATATAATAAAATAATATAAACAAATTATGTCTGTCAAAACATTCAAACAAACATTACATTTTCAATATAATAAATAATTTATGCATATCATGTTTGTCAAGACATTTAAACAAACAATACATATTTCATACATTGAAGTAGTATATACAAATCAATTCTGTCACAACATTCAAACATATATCACATAATATAATTAAATAGAATATAGAAATAAATTGCATCAACAAATTAAAACAAGTGTTAAAAAATATTATAAAATAGTATATGCAAATCAAGTCTGTCAAAACATTCGAAAAAGATTATAAAATTATATATCAAAAAAGTATATACAAATCAAGTCTATCAAAACATGCAAACAAATATTACATATTGAAATTAATTAATTAATTTAAACAAATCAAGTCTGGTAAAACGTTCAAACAAAAAATAACATTAAATATTTAACACAAATGTACAGATCAATTATATCAAAACCTTTAAACAAAAATTACATAATTTAATATAATAGTATTTTCAAGTCAAGTCTGTCAAAATATTCAAACAAATTTTACATTTTAAATATAATAAAATAATTTAAACAAATCAAGTCTGTCAAAACATTCAAACAACAATTACATATTAAATATAGACAGCTAGTATATGCAAAACAAGTCTATCAAAACCTTCAAACAAAAATTACATTTTATATATAGATAGCTTATANAAACAAAAATTACATATTAAATATAGATAGCTAGTATATGCAAACCAAATCTATCAAAACCTTCAAACAAATATTTCACATTAAATATAAATAGCTAGTTTATGCAAACCAAGTCTATCAAAACATTCAAACAAAAACTACATATTATATATAGATAGCTAGTATATGCAAACCAAGTCTATCAAAACCTTCAAACAAAAATTACATATTATATATAGATAGCTAATACATGCAAACCTTTCATATAAAAACCTTCAAACAAAAATTACATATTAAATATAGATAGCTAGTATATGCAAACCAAATCTATCAAAACCTTCAAACAAATATTTCACATTAAATATAAATAGCTAGTTTATGCAAACCAAGTCTATCAAAACATTCAAACAAAAACTACATATNTAAGCAAAAATTAAAAATGTCTTTATGATCCGTTTGCAATCTGAATTATCCAGTTTCCATGCCTCTGACAACGTGTCATCATACATTTTGTCTCTATTTAAAGGTGTAGATCCACCGTCGTGTCCAAATTGATGGAGTACTTACTCCGTAGTTGTTGATGTTTCCGGATATCTTACCTTGTATAATCGAAGTCTATCCACTGTGTCGATGATGCCTTGACCGACATTGACTTCATATTTCTCATGCCAGTCGTTTGAACTAGCAGCTGGTAATATTTGTACTATTCTAGAAAAAATAAATTCAGCTCTAGTACTGGTATCGGATTCGACACCATCAATTAATGGATCAAACCTCTGATAGACGACTAAATCTCCAACTTTTAGCAGAGTGATTTCATTCTTTAGTAACTCGTGCAGACCAAGGGGCACTAGTTTTCCCGGAAAGTACGCTAGGGATTCATCCTCATCGTTTTCTTCCTCATCTAAAAGTTCATCGCAGTACTTTTTGAATCTGTTTGGATTATCTATATAATCAACCAGTTCACGCATTTTTTCTGGTGCGATTTTGTTATCTAAACAATCTGAGAGAGTTCCAAAAAGTTTCTGTCCAACGTCTTGCAGCCACTGCCTTACTCCTTGGTCGTTAGCTACAAAATATAACGTTGGTTCGCTTTTCTCGACCGAGTAAAAACATTCCTGCAGAGCTTCTGTGTCTGGAATCTGTCTACCATCCACCGTAAGGAAGGTTGTGATCTCAGAGAGGGTAACTAGCTGTATTCTCAGCAACCGTTGACGGTAGATTTGAAATTCTTCGTCACTGAATTTTCCTATCTTTTGTATAACGTTCAAAAATCTTGAAGACACTAAAAATGCTCCTAATTGTTTAACTTTCATATCCTGTTTGGTATTATTCGTAGAAGATAAAAGGCATTCCTGCACGATTGAACTTAACACTCTTGGTTTAAAGTTTTCAGGTAATTTTAAGATGAGATTCTCTTGTTTGTGACAATCCTTCAAACTGTGCATAAACAGTATTCCAGGATCGGCGTTTTGCATAACCCGTGATCTAAGCTTTGGTTTATCAACAAACACAACGTCAGTTGATTTTGCCAAACGTTTTTCAGAGGTGGGTAAATAAATGGCATCAACTTCCTTCATGGATCTTTCAATATCAGTCAAGCTGTTCTCTTCTAGCAACGTCATGATACTTCTCAATGCAGTCAACACGTCCCGTATGTGATCAGGTCCAAGTATGTTTGATTTGACTTCGGCTTGAATTCGAAGCAGCACTTCTGAGTATTGACTCAAAGTAACCGAATCGGTTGTTCCAACGAATTGAAATAGTTCTTTGTATCGTCCGTAATAGAGCGGAATCTCTACCAAATATGGCGGTATCGGTTTCTTTCCATCAAACGCAATAGATACTTGTTTCGCGTTGACACATATTTCCTCTTCCCTTATGTGTACGAGTGGTGTTTCTGAAAGCATACGTTTGGTTTCAGAATGACCAAGGCAATGTTCCTGTAGATACTCATAAATCTTTGTCATCAAATCGTTGATGACTGATTCAGAAATACAAGCGCATTTAAATTCTGTTTTCCTTTTCTTGTCCTGTATTTTTTTGTTGATGGAATCACACACATTGTGGGTATCATGCAGTACTTTGAGTAATGGTGGTTCGCTAAGGATTCCTAAACCGATCCAATTGGTATGTACATACCATGGAAGAATAGGAGTGTTTGTCCATACAAGTGTCGAAAGAGATTGAGGAACAGAATCGCAAAACTGTATCAAATTCTCACATCCAAACTGCGGGCATATTTCTTCATAATCTTGTTGAACAACGTACGGTTCAACGAAGCGAATGCTTTTTATTGTTTCTAAAAATGCAGCGTTTTTGCAAAAGCCCTCTGTATCAAGCAAGTACTTGACAATCTCTCTAGATTTTTCTCGTATATCCTTTGTCATCCCAGAAGATCGTGCATTGCTCTGTATTTGTTTAGCAAACTTAATGAATAAATCCTTCGACACCGTTTCTTTCATTCCCGCACATAACATGAGTGTATTCCACTCCGCATTTCCAAATGGATAAGGCGGTAACATGGATTGGTCACAGAGTTTCTCACAAAGTCTGTTGCGGGGGCTATAGAAACAGTCGGCACGTTTCAAATTCCCTTCCTGGTAAATGAATTCTAATGTCCTTAATGCATATTTGAAAGGACATTTTGGGTCATCCCTCAGCATATGTCGTACATACGTCAGATGTGTCAAATGATGATTTTGTTCAAGATGATGGAATTGTGGAAGAATATGCCGGCAGTATAATTCAGGAACTGATATTGTATGATTGCAGTTTAAAAACGACATTAATCTCGATGTGAAATTGTTTTCTTCCAACAAAGTACACCCACATTTGGTGGCCCAAGAGTCTATGCCGTCTTTGGTGAGATTCCATGGCTCTTTCACGATGTAAACTTCTGTTAGAGGCTTTTGAATTATGACATTTGTTCCATTTACAGTTGTGAACAAGGGAAGGTCCTTAATCGTGTTAACTATAGATGATTGTCCTCTCAGTTTGTCAATGTTATCAAGCCTAGATAAGTGCTGTAGTATCGCTTTACATTGAACGATATGGAGTTTTTTCAAATTATCCCTATGGTAATGAAGACATTGAACTAATCTCACTGGATCCTGCTGTGAGGCCACCATATCTCCTAGCGTTTGAGAAAAAGTACATTCTCTGTGTGGGGTCGGGATGTTTAGTGAGACAAGAACCTGACGAAGGACTTCGTCTTGAAACGAACTGTTGTTCAACAGAACGTAACCCTTATGACAGGGAACTAAAACATCAGTGCCTCGATCATTTTGTTCTGTCGTTTTCCTCTTTCCAGGTATAAGGCACCAATTTCCTAACGCTTGGACGTTAATACCCTTCAGAGAGTCCATGTATTGCCAGAATTCACGAATCCATTGAACACTTAAAGTTTGTTTATCCCACAGTATTGGTGTCTGTCCTGACAGTGTGGCCATGTCGAAATTGTGGGGTAGCATTTGTGAAAAAACTGTTCAAGTCAAGACTTTTCAAACATTGGCCATTTTGCAACTGAGTGGCAGGTAACAAAGTGACTAAATTCCCATGCACAAATTCTCTCGCTGATTTTAGCAAAAGATCACAAAACAGAGACAGAAACACAGGTTGTTTTGGAGAAAACCTTCTGAGGATCGCATCATTTGTCACCAATAGGGGAAGCTGTTCTATGTGTTTTACGAAATTGTTCAAATCTTTGAGGCAGTATCGCAGTAGACACACGATGTTTTCGATACTTTTGACAGGGGTTTTCATTACTCTACAGTTGATATGTTTAAGCAGGCAAGCATCCGGTGACGTTGTGTCTGTCCTTAAAAACTGGATGACAATATAAGGATGAACCAAATGTTTCTCTGACATAAATTGGTCACCGCACACGTTATCTGCTTTCTGCAATGCCTGAACCATACTTTCAAATATCCACAGTGGCGATTCTAGCAGTTTCATGCCGATACCTTTCAGAGTATCGGACAGTTGATGTGCTTCTTTTGCAGCGCGTATAATGTTTTCTTCTGCCTCCTTTTTGCTTTGTATTCGAAACCGGTATGTATTGGGTTCACTTGCTGGCTGGAATTGGTCACGTAAATTATCGAAGTAAGCATAGAATTCATGTTTTTTTTGAAGAGCAACCCACCATATTTGTGATGCATTTTGTGATAACACCGGGAACACAGTAGACTCCTTTTCATACAGGATAGAAAAGAATGATGTTATCATACATTTGATAAGATCATTTTTTCCTTTCCCATACCGTGGAAATACCTGGTGATACTTTTCCAAACTGGATTTGTTATCGTCCATGGTAAACCTTTCTCTGCCATTTCCGAAGACTGTATCTCGTAAGTATTCAACAGCTAGGACATAGCTGTTTGATATCGCTGTTTTGAAGAGCAATCTATTCCAGTCACCTCTGTGTGATTTCTCCCACAATGATCCCCGCGTTTGAACAAGAGCAAAATGACCATTCATATGTATTGGAAGTCCTGTTTTCAAGGGGAGAGGTAGAAAACAAAATGCTTGACCTTCGGCTTTTGACTTCTCGCTGCTTGAACCAGCCGGTGACAGTTGAACCACCCCCTGTCTGTCGTGATATTTGGGAAAAGGCGTGTTAAGTCTCTTTTCATCATATTCTGCCTCTGTTCTAGCTCCAGCATCCCTATCCCTATCCTGTGATGTATACGGAAGAGCCACTGCACCTTTCGGTGTGAGAGCGATGTCGCCGTATTGGAAGGCTGTACTTACACTGTCTGGTAACTTTGCTTTGGAGTCTAATCCAAAAGTCTGTGCTATAATCCAACGCTCAGGTTGAGGTGAATGTTCCTGTATAGTCATGATGTATTTGACTGTCTGCATTTCGATATTTTGGAGATCCACTGATCTATCATGCAAAGCTTTTGTGAGTGTGTCACACTTATGGCAAAACTTTCCTAGATTACGTTCATCGTTTCTTTCCAAGCTTGACTCCACTGTGTAATTTTTTATGATATTTCCTTGGTTATCTATTTCCCATAATGAAATTTTTCTAATATTTCTCAAAAACAAAAGGCATTTCTTCATGTTTTCTCGGAATTGTTGAAGTAATTCCTTCAATAGTTCGCTATGCATTGGTTTGTTACATATGAGTGACTCACGTGCCATTTGTTCGTTTCGTAAGGGAAATCGAAACCATGTACCCTGTTCCCGAGGAAACTCCTTCTGTAAATAACATTCATACACGCCTGGATATGTCTCCTCGAGATCCTTTAAGTCAGGAAGCTGCAATCCTGGATTATCTTCGGCAACTGGGCAAAATTTACAGTGCAGGTCAAACATACAAAACGTTCCCTTTTTTGGTGTTGTTAGACCTCTGGTGATAAAAGAAGGCGCGTCTGTCAAGTGATAAACCACATTGAACCCGATACCAAACTGGCCAGTCTTAGTTGGGTCTTGAGATTTGGACCCTTCACCGAGTTTACAAATGCCTTGTAGATCTTCAGTAGTAAAACAAGAATCATTGAAAACACATAATGCTGGACCTTGAATGGCAGACCACGTCTTACCAAATATGCCTTTCTTTGCTTCATGCTGTCTCATGTCTTGGATGAACATTATTTCTTTTGCCCCTGCGTCATCTGCATTTTGTAACAATTCGTAAAGAATTGCCTCATCCCGAGGATATCCTTCTAAAATTCCTTTTAGTCGTTTCACAAGTTCCTCCTTTTGCCCAAATGGCATACTACCTTTAATGCTATTCAGGTGTTTCACTCGCTTTGATTTTATGTCCAGCAGCTTGCTAATATCTTCCGATATTTTCTTGTTAACGAAATGCATGACGTGTTCCCTTTTGAACGTATACCCGTCATCTACACACAATTCGTCTGCTAATCGAAAAACATTTGCATCGTCTGGAACAAAGATGCGAGATTTTTCATCAGAACCCAATTTTGATCCAATTCGCTCACAGACCAGAACGAGAAATTGTAACAAATTCACCGTAAGTTTAACATTTTTCAAACGCTGAGATTTGTTGTTGTCCTTTTGCACCTTTGCAAGTGCTGAAATGACATTTTCTTTGGTAAGCGTTTCTTGAACACCAACACATTTGAGAAAGTGTGTGTATTTTGTAACTTCGGACTTACCCAGCTGGTATATTGCTGGTGTACAGTCAATTCCATCAAACGTATCTAGGGTTGCGTGGCTTGGAGGGATTAGCCGATTAGACATCCATATTATAGGAAGGTCGTCGTATTTTCGTAATAGTTTATTTTGTGAGCTGTCCAAGTATTCGTATACAGAATGGCATATTGAATGCAAAGTGGATCTTTGCATGTTGGATAGATCATCACAGCGCACCTTGCTGATAGCCAGTAGTTGTGCTTCAACGTCATTATGTGATACGTTTACTCTAACTCCAAGTAACTGAAGGAGTGTTTTAACTTTTAGCTCACTATTCAGTCCTTCCGTATCAGCAATCAATTGTGAACATGCTATTTGATACATTTGCGATGGGAAAAACATTTGATTTGGTGGACAAAACTTCACTTTTCCTTCATCAGAACTTGTGGAAACCCATGATAAAGGCCAATGGCTAGGCTTCTGAAGAGAAGGTATGAAGGCTATACTACTCAAAACATTGATGATTTGACCACAGTTATGTTGTTCCCGATCAAGATAAGCCAGCAACTTTCGACAGCGACGCAACGCCTCTTTCGGATCAGACAGTTCCGCAATAGACGTAGCTCTTTCCAAAATTAGTTCGCCTGACAATGTCTTGTCCATCATACCCAACTCCACAAGAATATCAAGGATGCTTTCTGAACAAAAAAGCTGGTTGACGTCAGATGGATATCGGCCGTCCCCATTACAGAACAGCGCTGATACCTTAGATTTCGGTCTTACAAGCTCACGTGGCAATCTCAGTCGATCATCAGGGCGAACTGGAATACATGGATTTGATTTCAACAGCTGATGCAAATGATGTTGGTCGTCTTTTAATATAAATATCACCAACGCATCTCGCTTCTTTCCATCTATTTGATTTATGTTTGGAAACACAATTTCCTCATAGAATGTTTTCATGGTCATCGTCTGCTGTCCTAATTCCTCTTTACAACCGGCCGTGCAAAATTGTTGATATAGAGGCTCTGACATATCCATAGGAATGTTTGCCCCCTGGTAAAAACGTTGAAGAGTCTCAAAGGCAATGCTCCCAACTTTCTTGTTATGACGAAAACCATTGTCAAGAAAAACACAATCACGAAATGAAGCCCAGCGTCCTCTTGTTCTATAAAATACTCTGTGGTCGCCACTGATGACTTTTTTACAAAATGCCTCTGCCAAGTATGCCTTTCCTTCATATTTTTCGTTTTCCTTTATAATTGGCCAAAGTAATGAGTAATGTTCAGAAGACACTCCAAACTGATCCAAACTGGTCAACATCGAAACGTACGCGTTACATACGGCGTCGGACATGAGCATTCTGTTCCAGGTCTGGCTCGTTGTTTCTCCTTTTTCGTCGCTTGTTCTCTTGACTAAGTCTTTCCTGTCACTGCTTACGGCAAAACATCCGTTTATATGTACTGGCGTTTTGCATTCGACAGGTAAAGGAAGAAAACAAAATAAATGACTCGTATTATAGAATCCAGGTAGTTTCTCTCTGTAGGGGAACGGTACCGCAGTAAAACCTAAGCTCTTTTTTTTCAAGGAAACGGCAATGCTTCCAAGAGGCAGAGCTCCCTCGCTTTCGAGACGAACTGAATGTTCAAGTAGTACTCTACCAGTTCCTGAAGCCCAGGCAACCAACCATGGCGAAGATTTTACATATGATCTCTCAACGCTTAGAAATCTATTTTTAGGCATGTGCATCTTAACTGATATCCGTTCAATGTATGTAAAGGCTTGTTTTGTGCCACAAGCCTTTTCCACTTCCTTCATGACGTTAACGTCAGCTGGGTTGGTGAATATCGGATGGGTTTTGCTTACTGTTTTGTCTGTGCTGAAAATGAGTTGAATATCATTTGCTGGATCTTCACTGTCTTCAGGGAGATGAAACAGTTTTATTTCCTTTATGTTCTGCGTAAATGTCAACAAGCTGCCAGCACAATCCTTTAGAAGATGAAGAAGTGTTACCATATCATCTCTGCAATACGGTGTACATTTTATAGCACTCTTTAAAGCCTGTTCCTTCGTTCGTAAAGGAAGTCGAAAAAGCGTTCCTTCGAACTTCAATGGAAAGATGTCTCCAGACAAATCGCATCCAAATATTTTGTTATATGGACGGAACTGATTCCTTCTGAGTTTCAGGATACCAGAGCTTTTTTCTGTAAAATTGAGTCTTATACCTGGACTGCTTTTGTCCTTGATGGCTTTCCCAAGATAAGTAGTGTGTGGATCAAGTATAACCAGGGAACTTCCACTGAGGAAACTTGGAACATCTGTCAGGTTGTAAACAGCGCAGAATCCAAGTCCAAATTTGCCAATTTTAGTTTTTGTTCCTTTTTTTGTTTCTCCTCCAAGTTTAACAATATTTTGAAAATCGACTTCAGTGAATTCAGCATTGTTGTAAGCCCACAATGCTGGACCCTGGCACTTTGCCATGTTTTCGTCAATCAAGCCAGTTCTAGCATTTTTATTTTGCCTTTCATCATAAAGAAAACAAATATGTTGAGCTCCAGCATCGTCTGCGTTCTGTACCAGCTCCTTTAAGACTGCTAATCCGTCTGGATAGTTTTCCAACACATGTTTCAGCCTTGTTGTTAAAGGTTCTGACTGTCCACACGCTGAATACATTTCTTCCATCCCTCCGTCTGACATATATTTTCGAGTGAACGATTGGATACCAAGAGATTCAGCTAATTCAGCACTGACATCTGAATGAACGTATCTGACATTACTGTCTACGTCAATGTCAGCAAACAAGCTCGACTCCTTGATTGTACAGTATGTACATTCTTCTACCGGATACAAGTCCAAACTGGCTTTATCTGATTTTACAGGAACTAGCACACCATTGAGTGACGTATCCGTATCTTTAAGACTTGCTATACATTTCAGAATGCGTATCGCGATCTTTCTGTCTCTCTTGGTTGTTGGTGTTCTAGTTGTTGTTTTTATCGTTGTTAGGATGGATTTAAATGAACTTACTGTGAGTTCTGCTGTTGACCCAAGAAATACAAACATAGCGGAGAATTCCGAAAATTCGACAGGCAGTTTGTGCATAAAAGCTTTAAGATCTATGTTCCCGTTTTTCGGAAAGGAAATAAACACTTCTTCTGGAAGACGAAATTCTTCTCCTGTACAAACTACTGCTTGTGCCTTTAGCCTTTCCAAAGGTAGCTTAAGTCTCTCAACCGATGACTCGATATGATTAGACAGTTGCTGATAGATGCATTTTATCATAAACATCAGCGTTGCTTTGTGTTTAATACAAAACACCTTTTTCACTGCTTCCAGTTGTAATAAGCATATTTCGACACTAGGAGGTTTGGTCCATCCGTATCTTTCCGCAAGGTAGGGATGGTTGGGCGTTTCAACAATGCATTTAACTGATGCCGATAGCGACTCGTGCTTGTTTGAGAGGATATCTTCCGGTGAACATAGAAGTGATTCAAATTGATCCCCGTACCAGGGCAGTATGTCTGGATAATGAGATGGCCTATTTCTGATGAAGGTTATCCATCGGTATCCCTCTAGGTGAAAACTGTCCAAATTGTTTCTCGATTTCGAAGCCATCTTCTCAAGGAGTTTCATCACCTGCAAGGAACATTTGTTTATTTTTTTCTTGTCTACGTGTTCCTTTTTTCGGCACTCCCGATCTAGTATTTGGACAAGATGATGGACATCCTCTGGTTTAACATCCTTTTCTGACTTTAGACCAAATTTTCTAAGAGCGGGTTCTAGAGCCTTCTCTTGATAATTTGTCGGAAGAAGTTTGCTTTTGTCAAAATGAAATAACTCCTGAAGATTTCTATCAGTGTGGTCAAAGAATCGTCCTATCGGTGCAACTTCATTAATTTCCATGGCAGTCGAAATCTCAATGAATTCGATCCTGGAGCCCAAATCAAGTATTCTGGTTTGATTAACACCAAATGTAATCAGGTTTTCTAGAACATACTTCATGAAACGTTCAATGCTCGGCCTTTTATACCCAGTTGAACTGTTGACCATTGCTCGTAAGATTTCCTCAACTATCTTCCCCTCCGACACTTCCGTTGCTCCTAGTCGTTCAGCAAGATTTTTCTGTGGGATCTTTAAATGTAGCAGAGGAGCATGATATTTGACTGGGATGCAGTTTCTGCATGCAATTCTCTCGTTCTTTGATATTGATGTATACTTCACGTCGTTGTCAACGTTGGACGTTTCTGGGAAAATATCTAATTGTCTGATTATGTTATCAACCTTTTGACTGGTAACTTTACAATCTTTTGACAGAAAGTTCAGCAAAGCTGCTTTCTCCTTGTGATTAGATCGTTTGTTGAAGTGAAGGGCTGTAGTATCAAGTGATTGCCTGCTTCCTTTACAGTCGTCGTGCAGTCCTTCCAAAAGTTCAAAGATTCCTTCAAGGTCTGGATATTTGCAATAGGTACCCATCAACTCAATATGCGTTTCACCTTTCGGAATGTGTTCAAGAACTGTAAATGTTAGGTTTGAGAGAGCATTACTCAGTGTCTGGTCCAGACGGTTCATCCTGTCACAGTTAGCGACAACGTATCTTCCCTTCAACGGCATTAGCTTCAAATTATTTTTGGATCTTGAGTCGTCAATTACAGGAACCAAGAACATATTTTCGACTTTTTCCAGAGGGATTTCATGCTGACGGATATATCCAAAACCCTTGTCGAGCCATTTCATTGTAATATGACTTGTGATAATACCAAAACATCCATTTTCTCCTAATTTTCCATTTGCGGACAATGTTTCTTTAAGTAAACTCGGAAACTCCTCATGATTGAGATTCCTCAGGTCAAATATACCTATAAAAGAAGACGGCTGTTTTAGGAGGGATTTGAGAATGATAGACCACTTAGAGAAGCAGGCATTATAACAAATATCTATAAATACATGTTTCAAAATTAACTGCTGTATATTTGAGCATACATTAAAATCACGTGATACAGCAGCCATTTTCTGCAGCTAAATTTTGTCAATATAAAGATGTACACATCAACGAATCCTTAAACGGGAAAAGCATACTCCAAGATAGTATTTGTGTTTAGCTAGGTGACAATAAGGGATGTGGATTATATCAAAATATCACTGTACCGCTAATTTGAATATTCAATTAAACTTAAAACTAGTACATCATTTCTTAAACAATGAATAATGCATTACATACCTTCTGTCTGCATTTCATTCAAATGGCTCAGTATTGTTTGTGCTATGTCTAACTTGACAAAGTTCTGTTCAATGCCTGGGAATATTTTCATCTCATCTTTCGTGCATATGTAGTTAGGATATCCATTGTCAAACGAACGGAATGTCTCGTCTTCTAAAGGTAACAACTGAAGGTCACTGAGGTCAGAGTATCGCCGATCTGCTAAAATAAACTGCAGCAACACCAATTTGTGTTCAGATGGATATCTGGTGTAGATGGGTCTTTCTCTCATGACATTTCTTAAAAACTTCGGCGTAATCCTTGCCACGTCTGGAAACATGTCTGCCACGTGAGAGGGAACATTGACAACATTTCGTTGACAATCCAGCAGAAGATCGACTATACATTGTTCTGTCTCTCTGACATTGATAGATTTATCTTCATTCCATTTCAAAATAGAAAATATCGCATCCTTTGATTGAACCCATTTGCGACCATTATTTTTAGTGTAAAACACGTCTTTTGTTTTCAAACTCCTGTACAAGGGATCGACAATGGTATTCCAATTTGGTCGAACGTTTTGTCGTGATGGCAGTATTTTATATACCAGGTTATCGGCCTCCATGCAATTTTGTCTGACTGTGCGTTTTTTCATGTAATCTAGTGTATCGGTGTACGCAGCTACAATCACTTCTTCACATAGAAAACGGTTCCATCTCTGAGCCTCGTCTTCACGCTCAGGCTGGTTGTCGGTAGGCCATTTCACGTGATGTCTGTCCTGACTGAGGGCGAAGAATCCATTGATATGCACGGGAAGTCCTGTGTAATTCTCACCTGTAGACGGAAGAGGAAGGAAACAAAACACATGTCCATGAAATGTTGCGTCCGACCTGTTATCGATGGGAGCAGCGATTCCAACGAAAGGACTGTACGACAGTTGTGTATCCTCTGTCAATGTTCTGAGGTCACCGGAAAGACTGTTCAGGCCTTTTACATAATTGCACACAACCCAGCGTTGCGTTTTGACTTCTTTTCCGTCCTTAACAGTGACGTTGACAGGAAATATTGCCTTCATGTCGTTATCGGGTGACCTACCTTTACATGCCGCAAATTTCAAGTTAAAAGACGTTCTTTCTTTTTTTTCCTCCACGGAGCATGTCACCGAGAATGATGAGATTAACTCGTCTTTGTTATGAAATGAGACTTGAGTGATATTCTTCAGAAAAAGAGGCAGACACGGAGCTTCTTTCTTGAACATTGTTATCAGCTCTTTTACATCACGATGATTAAAGACTTTTGTCGACAACTTTGAAGCAGAGCGGCGTAACGGAAACCAAAATAAGGTACCGTGGTACTCATTCTTCAACGATTCTTTTGTAAATCCACAATGACCATACAAGGTCTCCATAGCAACAACAGCCTGTTTGTAATGTCGTTTTTTCTGAACAGTTTTTTGAAGTTTCTTGAATTTCAATGTGTGGCAATCGTTTCCAAGTTTATTTTTGGTCCGGAAAGGATCGATAATCAACAGCTTGTCACCACTGATTATGACAGGGTTATCTACAATAAATGTAATGCAACTACCAACTCACAAAGTCATGATTACAATATAAGTCATTATTATACATAATGGAATCTACATTTGTTAAAGAAGTAAAACCGAAAGTCACGCATAGAATTTTTGAATATGCAATAATGAAATGATCAGTAATGATACAGACTAATTTCAAACAAGAATGTTTCATGATTGTCCAGGTATCTGATTTAAAATGAATTCTGTCAAACTGTGTTAGAAACAAACAAACAAAACTTACAAAACAAATATCAATAAAACAACATTAAATTAACGTCGTGATTTCTGTGTACTAGCACATTGGTTGGGATTGGAAAAGGGTTAGTGTATATATCATAATAGCAATAACATCATTCAATCATACTTATAAACAGACTGTATGGACAAGATATTGAAGACACAAGACACCACGGTCTAACAAACAGCCTAATCATCATCCGTTCTTTATAATGAAGCTTAATTTCATAAAAAGATTCCACTTTTAGATTCAGATTCATAGTTCATAGACAGAGACACGGCCAAATCAATGCATTTGGATGTCAAATAAGGCAAAGGATACACTTACACTAATCTATAACCATTGTCACCATTGTGAGATATGTATTTATATGTTAATCTTTTTCTCGGAAGAAATATTTCGGAAAAAATACATGTTACTGTGCATTTTACAGAATTATTGTTCTAAGAAATTTTTGAAAATATGTAATAAAAAAAAACACATTAACTTGGGTCCGACCTTACAACCTTTACATAGCAAAGCCTGCAGCCTTGCCATGAATTTATTTTGAATGTCAAGTATCAAAATAGGTATTCAATTTATGGGCCACAAATCCTTAAAATATTCAAACTCGAAATATATAGTTTCACAGAGAAAGTTACTATAAACCAGAAATAATCATTTTAACTGCTACCTCTATTATTTAGAAGGGGGGAGGGGGGTGTTACAAGACAAATACAATATATCGTTGAACTCTTCTTCGCTATTTAAGTTGATGCAGTGGTACCTTTACCTTAAATAGAAGTTAAGGACCCTTAAATTAAATTTTGTTTTGGACCAAACACTTTCCTGTTTTAACAAGACAATTTACCTACCTGTCATGTGGAATACAGACTTGAATCCGAGACCAAATCTGCCAACTTTTAGAGCGTCTTCACGCTTAACCACTGCGGTTGATACTTTTTATATATTTCCAATCATCTTTTTTGAACACTGCGTTGTTATTGACACACAGGGCGGGCACCTGGCAGAAACAGAATATTGCATTTACTATCTAATCGAAAGGGAAAAAAACTCCACGTAATAAACAGGAAGTTATGTACAAGGGACACAACTAAATAATTAAGAACCAAGTTATTATAATTTGTATTTGCAGTTATTGCTTACTATCAAATGTTACAATGATCTGTCGATTTGATATTCAAGGTTAGATATTTTATAAGGAAGACAATGAAGGGTTTAATCCAGGATTTTACAATGAAATTTACCTTATCGACTGACCTTTCGTCTTCAATCTGAAAATAAATGCACTTTTCACAGTAATTTACCCCAGGTTATATTTGATTCACTTAACATTACCCTGAAATATTCCGAATAACATCCGCACTGCTTGTACTGTCCGCTCGTTGTCTCCTCGGTGTCGTTCACATAAATAATCTCCATCTCTGTAGCGTTGGCATCGTCAGCATTTTGGATCAGTTCCTGTTAACGATCAGAATGAGGAATAACATATTTTTGGGCAGTATGATAATTTAAATTGTTATACAAATCAAGTATATTAACCGATCGGTATCCTTAAACCGGTATACCGGTATAAATTAATTGCCATAGCGAAACACATACAATTCGAAGTATAGCTGGAGCAGTGGTTCTTCAATGCGAGTTTGTGCATTAGCTATGTTGATGGTAGGAATTTGTTGGTTACTATAACCTTGATTGCATTTTCATTTTGATGCAACAAACAAAGCTTTGTTGAATATAAACTTAACTTATAAAAGATTATTTTTGACATACACACATATGACTACCTTTATCATTTGGTAATATGGAATGAATTAAATTTAACAAGTACAAATTGTAATGGGAACCATTACAGAAGTCCCCAAACGACCCATTTACTACGAAATGATTGTTGAAACCGGAAATGGACGTTACGGTTGTATTTGTGGTGTAATAAAGTACATATATACCAATTTCCATGAAAATCGGACGATATTTAAATTTGGACAAATAGAGGCTCGGAAATGGCGGTCATTTTGTTGAAACCGGAAATGGACGTTACAGTTGTATCTCTGGTGTCATTCAGTACCTAAATACCAATTTTCATGATAATAGGACAACATTTAAATTTTGACCTATTTGTTGCCTCCCCTTGGCGGGTTTTTTGTTTAAGATTCAGAAAGCAAGTATGGGCACTGGAAGAAAGTGGAGGAAATAAGAATAAGAATAATAACTAGAATTGCAATTGCGAGCAAAAGTGGAAGTCACCCTCCCCTGCTAAGTACGCAGCGGTTTTAATTTTCACAAAACGAACACTGCAGTTGTGTTCGTAGTGCCTTACAACACCTACATACCAATTTTCATCAAAATTAGACCATATTCAAATTTTGACCAATCAGAGGCCATGAAATGGCAGCCATTTTGTTTTTTCACAAAACAAACATCGCAGTTTTGTTTGTAGTGCCATAATACACCTACATTCCAACTTTCATCAAAATTGGACGATATTTAAATATTGACCAATCAGAAACCTGCATTTGGCCGCCATATTGAATCCAAAATGAAATATTTTTAGTCGAAAACGATCGATGTGACGTTATCATCCCTTTCACTAAGTTTCATGATGTTCCATTAAAGAAAACAAATGTTATTACTGGTTATGATTTCGGCCAATCAGAAGCAGCGGCGGCAATCTTGGATGCTTGACCCGGAAAAAAAAGTAGGATGCACAACTACATATAATACTGATTATGTATGCAAAGTTTGATTAGATTCCCATCAGTGGTTCCTGAGATTAAGCGCGGAAGCGGAAGAATAATAATAAGAATAAGTAAGAAACCGAACAATAACAACAAGTCACCCGACTTCGTTCGGGGTGACTTAATAATAATAGATGACAAGAGTAATTAGGAAACGGAACAATAACAACATAAGGATCTTATTACACTGCAACTTATGTATCTTTTTTAATCTTTGCTGGACGATTAAACATGTTTTATTGCCCTGCACTTAGATGGTTGTTATAGCCGTTTATTTACTTCCAACACATCATATCAATAGACACCATAAACATACAAAGAAAAATATCCTGAACATTGGCCGGCTTCTTTTATTATTCGGAAGTCAATTAAACGCTTTGACTTTAAACATATTACCTTGATATTGGGTCAAGGTAATTCATTTGAACAGGCTAGATAACCCTTTATCATACCATACAACTGGCCAAATATATTCACCCTAGGCTTCCTGTTTATTCAGAATATACTTAACAATTTTGAAATAATTTACCCGTCACTGTATATTGGGTCAATGTAATTCATTTGATCAAATCTTATAACCATACATCCAAGTATATTACTGGTCAAATATTGCTAGATTTCTAAGTGATCAAGAAAAACTTTTCACACATTTGTCATTTCACCTTAAAAGCTAGCCAAGTTACTTAATGTCCACAGACTTCGATTCATAGCCCTTCATCCTAGCATGCTTATTGCCGAATAGCAATACCCTAGCCCTCTTATTTATATTGAATATGTGTCAAGGTCATTCATTTGAACAAAATCCCGTTTATGGTTAATAATCAGGGATTAATAAATAGAGTACTGTTTCAGACGTGCATATAAAGGTAAAGTAATTTGCTCTCTTACATGTTTGCTGAATCGTGCGTTTAGATCAATACTTATAATACTTTTTATATCAAATTTGCCGGAATAAAAATAGATCTTACCAGGATTATTTGAGCATCTTGGTAATTGTCCAGTATAGTCTTTAGTTGCTCCAGGAGTGATGGTTGGTCCATGGCACAGTCTGAATCTGTTGAATCAGAGTCCCTATCTACAAAAATATTACCCATTTTTAAAGGTTTTTTTATGAAAATCCCAGACAGTAAATGTTTATGCAAAAACAAATGGGATATTTTTGAAACACGTGAACTGCCTTATTTCACTTCAAACTGTGTATCAATAATATATAGTTTTGGAGTTGGCGACTATTTCTGTTAAAAAAGATACTACTAGTCATTCAATTAGTGTTTCATTCAATAATATACACACAACTGCGATGGAAAATATACTATTGTATTCAACAATCAGGCGTACATTTAAATTGATACCAAGCTAAAGAGGGTAGTTAGCCAATGGTGTTATTAACATGAAGATACAAACTTTATGGTGATAAGCTTAAATTATAAAATATGTCACGCTTGCTTGGATCAAATACTGTAGTAACCTTTATATAATGTTGACTAAGTGCTATTCTTATATTAATTATCAGAATTTTTTTCATGGCTTGGTGTTCATAATAATTCCCCTCAGACAATACACAAAATGGTTTTTCTACACATAATCTTCTAAAACATCCATTAACAACCATTTAAAACATATACGGAGAAATGAAAGTAACACACACACACACTCCTACACACACTCGTACACATTCACACACACACACACACACACACACACACACACACACTAGATAGTAACTTAAAAATTTGGTAATAGACACTGTATGCCACCAAATATGAATTATTAACTGATACAGCATGGTGCAACAAGATCAAGGTCTGTAACAGCACAACGGAGTAGTGCTACGTGTGAATTGTATATGCCTCCATTAAATAAACATGTGTGGAATGCTCTGTAAACCATTTTTTTCCCCTTAATTAAGGTAAGGGCAAACATACACATTACAGTAACCAAGATTTGATTCGCACGACCCTTTTTTCGTATAAATACATACATGATCCAATTTTAATAGTTATGCCTAGGGTGATGAAAGAAACTGACCAGTGAGACAGTAATTTTTGATTGACGTCAGAAATAAAGCAATTTTCTTTCGTACAGAACATCCTGTCATCAATACATATACTCATATTCTAAGTAAGATCATGTGCTATGATAAATTTTCTCAACTGTATAAAATATTCTAAAGATATTTTTTCCTTTTATTTTTACATTATCGGACGAATGCATGTACACAAGCATGAAAGAATGAATTGAATCTCTATTGTTTATGTTTGAATATGGTTATAGCAGCTGATATTATAAAATACATTGTCAATATAGTGATAACAACATACGGGAAGAAAGGCTAATCATACGTCACGTACCCATAGAGAGAGCTTGGCTGTCCGTTTCGCTTCCGCAATTTGATTTAGAGGAACAAAATGAAGCCACATCGGTGACGGTCTCTTCTGCCGGGGGATTTCCTGACATAGTTGCATCCAGTCTTACATTCTGAATGCTAAATTTCTTTCTCTTACGTTCCAAGTGCGGAGAATCGATTAAGTGTTCCCTCTTTTTCTTCCGCCGGGAAGATCCGGGAGGATTTTTGTCATCGTCTTTGCGATCTGCAAAATAAGTGAAAGATTCAAGCAAAGTATCTAAAAGATGTAAGTAACACACACACGGAGGTGATATAAAAGGATAAGTCAATAAAGTATACCAACAATGAACCAGGGAGAAAATAATGTGATGTGATTAGAGTCAGTTATGTAAAACGTTCGTGTTGAAAACTTGATTGTATATCATCAAATATGTTTACTATACAGCGACGGTGTCTATTTTTAGATAGGCCGGAATTCCGACATCGGAAGTGTTCGGAAGTTTTAATTGATCATATAAGGAAGAAATTAATCTTCAAATATTACATTATCTGTACGTGCAATAATATTTACATTTATACAGCAATGGGACTCAATATACCGACAGTTTTTCAGTTGGCGTATCATTACGTAGGCAAACTAGTGTGGGAAATAGTCCCATTAATAGATTGAATCATATCAACTTGCTGTATTCATACTGACGTGCTACAATCATATATAAATCCATTGTATCAATATAAATCCCTGTTGTACTCATTTAGATTTGTATCCATATCGACCTTGTGTAACCATGAAAACCTACTGTATAAATCCATAGAACAATTTGTATTGTTCAGTAATTGCATTTACCCGAAAGGTTTAAAGAATCAAGGATACAAAAACGGGAATATAAAATGCAAGGTGTGAAATGTTTATTTCATTTATGAAAATGAGGGTCCAGTTACTTTGTATCAGAAAACGGTTGATTGAAAAGAATTAAATGTTAAGCATGATAATAAGAAATAATCAACATATATGAGGTTGTTATAGTGGAATATCTAACGACGGTTAGAAAATGTCGGAACAATTTATTAATTAAGGCCGCTTGTGGCCTAAGTTGGTAATATTTCTAACTTTCTTTAATCCTTAGCTATATATTGCGCCATAATATCTAAACCTATGTTGAGTATATATATTCTACCAAGTTTAATGTGACGATAGGGTATTATCGTGCCTGTCTACGTGCTATTGGTATTTTACCATGCAAGAGGACCTAGATGATAAAATTATTTTAATTATGCTGTTCTTTTGCGCGTGCAAACATTTGTCACGTGATGCATACGATTTCATTTCCCAAAAAGCTGCGCGTTTGTATCATTTATAGACAGTTGTCCTGTAT